AAAAAAAAAAAAAAAAAAAGTTGAAAAATATTTACCCACCAAAACATCAAGATTTTATTTTCCTAAAAAATGTGGATTTGGAAAGTTGGAAAATATTTTTCCGGGGAAAATTTTGCCAATCAAACACTACAAAAGTTGGAAAATGTGTGCTATCAAACGGGCCTAAATTTAGAAAATTATCCTCATGCAAAAAATGCTAAGAACTTAATGTTGACGATTTTGATTTGAAATTTTGATTTTCTTTCTTTGTTCAAATCAAAAGTTCGTATTGATTTTATTTATTCTTTAAAATACATATCACAAACTGCAGGAAAAACTTTACAAAGCATGTGGATTTCATAGCTAGACTAAGTGCTTGTTTGTCTCTCATTTTGGGAGAAGAAATAGAGTTTTGATTGGTATTTTTTTAGAGAATGTGTGGTTGAAAAGTAAAGTAATTTTATTGATTTGTGTCTATAATATTTTATTGAGTGAATATGTGGTGGAGATTGTTTACTGTAGTAAACAATGTTTGATAAAATAGATGACAAACATGTGCTAAATCTGAAATAGGGATAACAACCGGGTGAGTCGTGGTTGGAACAACCTCCCCTGCTCCGATAGGAAATTTTCCGCCCCGTTACCCATTGAAGGCAAGGCAATGCGGGGGCGGGGCGGTTTTACTACCCCATTTTTTTAATTTTTTTTAAAATTTTTGATAATTCATTTTATTGCTCACATTTATTAAATTGAGATAATAATATATTTTTTAATTTATTCTCAAAAGTTAAATTATTCAAATATATTTGGTAAACTAAAACTTTTATTATTTGCCATATTTTTTAGATAATCTTAGTTGTCATTTTTTATTAAAACTAATGAAATTTCTTGGAATTTTTCATTTAAAGTGTTGAATTCTAAAAATAATAATAAAAAATTAAACGGGACGGGGTATCCGTTACTTGTACCCGCCCCGTTCCCGACGCAAATACCCGATTAAGTGGGTAATCATCGTCTCATTCGGGATGAGGTCCCGTGGATATCGGGTTTGTCGGGTTTTGTTGCCATCCCTAAATTGTATAGAGTTAGTGAGTGAAAAAGTTTATGTTTTGGGATATTTTGATGAGTAAGNCGTTTCTTCGATGTTTTACTTGGAAGCTAACTTTTTAGTAAACGAGCCGAAATTAGGACTAGGGTGAGAGGAAGAGCAAATAGAAAGGATGAGATGGGAACGGTAATACAAGTTTTTGGGGAAATACTCGCAATCCTTGGTACAAAATCTTTTAATAATGCAATTATTGTATTTATCGCTTACGATGAATGCGAGTAAGCAATAACTCTGCAATTATCTACATCTCACTTTTTTCTCGAGATAGCTCAAACTATCAAGAACAAAAAATAACAATGCTGCTGAAATAAAGGCAAAACCAAAGATTTATTCGGCACCCCATATACTAATAATTAGTAATTTTTTTTAATTTCACAAGAATTTATTTTTCGACTGATAATAACCACGTACACTTTTCTTATCTCAACCATAACATTTAAACGTGCTTAAGAGTTTTAAAACTTAGGACATGTCTGATGCTGATTCTTCGTCAGCTTAAAATTATTTGGTTACTTCAATTGAGATGTAAATAGAATGGCTAACTGTACAAGAATACAAGTTTTTATTTCTTAAGCTATAATTATGTAAGGACGTGTCTGGTGCTGATTCTTCACCAGCTTAAAATTGAAACATTGACCGTTACTTTGCCAAGGTAGATCCCACCTCTGAGATGGCTGGTCAAACAAGACGGCCTGATTTTACACGTAACGACTATGAAATCATTTTTTTTTTGTTTCAAAAAGCAGGCCCAGACAGGCCCTTAATTTTGTCAACTTCATTTCCACCGTGCTTCGTTATTTTAATAAACAACTACGTTACAATGGCGATTCACATTTTCAAGACACGGGAAGTACATTACCAATAATAACTATAATAGATCAAGGAATTTAAAGAGATGTTTAAAACCAAAAAATATTATGAAACCAAAACATAATATCTCAATATATGAATAAATTTAAAATTAAATTCGGGATCGATACTTTTTTTATCTCGACAAAATAATGTCCCAGAAGAAACTAAGAGCATGTTTGGCTAAACTTAAAATCCAATTAAGATTGAAAATATAATCATTATTGAGTCTCACTCGTCTAATAAAAATTAACAATAACGGCTAGTTTTTCAATTTTAATCCGATTTTAATCTCTACCGAACACGCCTTAATTTTTTACTCGTGCTCAGCAATAAATTGCGACTCTATAACAAAGGTAAAAACTGTAGTGTAGAGTTAGCATCAATTTGACACAAAATTCAAACGATTGATTGCAATGTAAAATCTTTTGTCTAACTAAAAAGAAAAAAGAAAAGAAAAATGAAAAAGGAAAGGGCGACTATTTTATATTTGGTTACTTCAATTGAGATGTAAATAGAATGGCTAACTGTACAAGAATACAAGTTTTTATTTCTTAAGCTATAATTATGTAAGGACGTGTCTGGTGCTGATTCTTCACCAGCTTAAAATTGAAACATTGACCGTTACTTTGCCAAGGTAGATCCCACCTCTGAGATGGCTGGTCAAAAAAAAACGGCCTGATTTTACACGTAACGGCTATGAAATCATTTTTTTTGTTTCAAAAAGCAGGCCCAGACAGGCCCTTAATTTTGTCAACTTCATTTCCGCCGTGCTTCGTTATTTTAATAAACAACTATGTTACAATGGCGATTCACATTTTCAAGACACGGGAAGTACATTACCAATAATAACTATAATAGATCAAGGAATTTAAAGAGATGTTTAAAACCAAAAAATATTATGAAACCAAAACATAGTATCTCAATATATGAATAAATTTAAAATTAAATTCGGGATCGATAATTTTTTTATCTCGACAAAATAATGTCCCAGAAGAAACTAAGAGCATGTTTGGTTAAACTTAAAATCTAATTAAAATTGAAAATATAATTATTATTGAGTGTCACTCGTCTAATAAAAATTAAAAATAACGGTTAGTTTTTCAATTTTAATCCGATTTTAATCTCTATCGAACACGCTTTAATCTTTTACTCGTGCTATGCAATCAATTGCGACTCTATAACAAAGGTAAAAACTGTAGTGTAGAGTTAGCATCAATTTGACACAAAATTCAAACGATTGATTGCAATGTAAAATCTTTTGTCTAACTAAAAAGAAAAAAGAAAAGAAAAAAGAAAAAGGAAAGGGCGACTATTTTATTACAGTCGCGCGTCTTCCGTTATCGAGCTTTTACGTTCTAATTTCTATCTCTAAATCCTCTCTTCTTCCATTCTTCCTTTCTATCTCTTCGATCCAGCTCGATCGACGAATGCGGGTAAATTTCTTGACTATTCTTAAACTTACCGCAATTGAATTAGCTTGAATTGAGTGCATTCGGTGTTGAATTTTGAATAAAGGGTATTCATGGATAAAACCCTGATTTTTCACTCTGCTTAAATTAGGGGTTTTGAGCGTATGAATTAACTGTTGAAGACTTGAAGTATTATAGTTGGGTTGATCTGCTGTGTGTTAGTTTGTACTTGAAATTTGTCTTTTCATATTATAAGTTCAATGGCGTAAAAGCTCGGATTTTTTTATGGCGGCTCTTCGATTTTTTCTTTGTGAATGTGCTTAATTTAGAATTTAAACTTTGGTTCTAGTTGTTATTTTAAGAGATACTAATTTACTGAAAGGAGGTTCTAACATTGAATGTGTACTGACGGGCATCTCTAGCAGAATTCTGACTTTCAGCTTTCGTTTTTGATTTTAAGTGGTGTATAATTCTTATGGACCTCCAGTACAGCCTGCAAAAGCAAAAGCTTTTGGAATTCTATCCTTTTCTGCGGATCATTGTGATATCCAGAAAACAAAATTTAGATTTAATCGTAAACAAATTTTTTTCAGTATGAAGTTTGTCCACTTCAATACCCATTCAATGACTTTTGGCACTGAACGTTCCAAAAATGGGTACTGTCGTCTGAATTCAAAAAAGACACCTGTTGGCATTTCTGCCTTCCTTCTCCTTCCCGGGCCTATCTGAAAGAACATCCGGTACTTCTTGGTCATGAATATCTGAATTGGTTGTTCGTTGTTTAAGACTCCTTGTTATGGAGTTCTAATTGTACATTTCTAGCTGAAGTTGCATTCAAGTTTTCAGTGACCTTCCATATTAGCTTGTATAGAGTTTAACTAATAAAAGATGTGAATTGATTGATCGTTATTAATTTTTGAAAGTTGGTACTGTAACCTTGGCTTATACTTGCTCCTAATGGCTTATTCTTATTAGGTTTCATAAGGTTGTAGCTTCTGAAGTAGATTAATTTCCAACACTCACTCTTGAGGAGAAGGCTCTGTAGATATGAGATCTGAACACTGAGTTTTGATAATGGCCGGAAATTCGAGATTTGAATTGACTTCGGGTAGCCCTGAATCCAGTTTTGCTGGGAACTATCAAATTGGGCAAAGAGGGAGTTATTCTAGTCAGGCGCTGGATAGGTCTGGAAGCTTCAGAGAGGGTGCAGAAAGCAGGATGTTTGGTTCTGGAAAGGCTACATCTAGGGGGAGTGCTATGTTGGCAGGGGAATTACCTGCATTGTCCCAATGTCTGTTGCTGGAGCCGATCGTTATGGGTGATCAAAAAAAATATACACGATCTGATGAATTAAGGAGGGTTCTGGGCTTTTCTGTTAGCTGCAGCTCGGAAGACAACTCTTTCAGTGCTGCTCATCTGAAGAACTCACCTCCAGTGGCGGAGGAACTAAAGAGATTGAAGGCAAGTTTTGCAGATACTTGTTTCAAAGCCAGGTAACTTCTATTCTTCATATTATCTTTGCTCTTTTGAGATCTACTGGACAATAGAGTTATTTAAACACCCTAGAGATCCCATCCATGCCTGTCTCTTCGTTTCCTGTCATGGAGGTGAAAAATATCTTATTGGAATATTAACATTTATTATTCATTTATCACCAAATCTGAATTAGTTTAAGCTGTTTTTGTTTCTATTTGTGCTAACATTGTCAAACTGGCTCTTGAGGTAAATAATCAACATGAATTGTAGAAACCTTCAGCTTAACGTGACATTTTAAATTTTCTTTTTTAGCCTTTTTTACTGAATATGCTGCATTCTTCTTTTTGACTAGTGGTAGAGCAAAAAAGTTGGACGAGCATTTAAATAAATTGAACAAATATTTTGACGGCATAAACTCCAAGAAGCTGCAGCGGAATGAACTATCCACAAATGAAAGATCAGGCAGTTCAAACCTGAAGATTGGAACCCAGGTAAATCGAAGCTCGTTGGAACTTGGAAATCAGAAATTTGAGGATCGGCCTAAGAATGTCATTCTGAGCAAGCGTGTACGCACGTCAGTGGCAGAAACTCGGGTTCGTTATATTTCCTACCCTTAAATCTCATTTCTGATTTAAAAAATAGAAGTAGGAGGCACACATGTTTTCAATCTGTTTACTTCGACAACTTACACTTCACTTCCTTTGTCTGCCTTTATCTGTATCATTCTCATCCAGCTTAACTAACGGAGATAAGAAATGTGATATTGAATGGCAGCAAAAGAGGCTTTACCCAACTCTTTATGTAATGCATCCGTTATCACTCACATGTAGAAAGTATGAAAACTTAACAGACATTTTTAGATGGACAATCGATAAAAAATAAAAATTTAATAGGTAAAATAAACATTTAGTTTTCAACTTTTCATGATATATTCCAGTGCTTTAACATAGTTTAATTTCATTTGACCAGTTTCCTGATTCTTCTTAAATTTTTCTTACATTTTGGAGAATAACTTTCCCTGCTATATTTTGTACTGTTTTTGAGAATTGATAATACTTTTCCCCTCTTTCAGACAGAAGGCCGTGGTAATGGACTACCACGGCAGCCAATCGTGGTGTCAAAAGACCGAGACATGCTTAGAGATAATAGTGCAGATTCTGATATGGTTGAGGACAAGATAAGGAAATTACCTGCGGGTGGAGAGGGTTGGGAGAAGAAAATGAGAAGGAAGCGTTCTATTGGTGCAGCCTTTTCCAGAACTATTGGCAGCGATGGGGAAGTGAAACGAACTGCACACCATAAGCTTGCCAATGAACACAGTCTGCAATACTGTGATTCCTCCCATGGTTTCAGGTACCTATATTCGTATTATGTAGTAAAACACTCATGGTTTCACGGCATTGCTTCTTCTTCTTTTTTTATTTCTCTTTCTTTTTGTTTGCATGATTTACTGGTATCCAGCCATGACTAAGATGACCTTTCAGCTGCATATTTGAAGACTGGAACTATTATCCTTGAAAATTCGTATGATTATAAAGAAAATATGGCGTTAGCAAGAAAAACTATTATGAAACTTTGGAGATGCATCTCTCATTTGTACAAGTATGGACTGACACACTTCAAAAAGATTTTAAAATCATATTTCTTAGCAAAAACAGTTCATGGCATATGTATATCATGGGATTTATATTGGTGTCCAACTGTTTAATTCTATTTTTAATTATTTCTTTATTTTTATACTTAAATCTTTTAAAAAGAATCCTTACTTTATCTTTTTACAGTTTGACTAATTTTTAGATCCAGTGATTAAACTTTGATTGATGCAAACTGACCAATTTTCCAAGGAAAAATGATTCTGTCACATTATTGAGATATGTTCACAAGAAATTAAATCGTTTAGTCCAAATAAAAGTTAAGCTGGCTACATGTGTTCATAATGTCATGATTTCTGAACCTCTGGGGACGGAATAGTAGGGCGTCGCCTCTTTAAATATGAGAAACACATTCATTTTAATGCAGTTTAGTTTATTTAATTTGTTATGGTTTGATTCGTCAAACTGATTTTACCTTACGCGTGTTATTTTGCTAAAATTATCTCTATTGGGTTGATTACTTGGTTATCAAAGGTGAATAGAAAGTACGATTTTCTCACATTGCAACAAATGAGCATACATTTCATAGTTAATTCTTTAGCTGCAAATCAAAACTCTAAATGCTGTTTAAACCCTTGAAACTCGTTTCACAGATCAGGGGCTTCTAATGGTGCCAGTGCCACTAGCAAATTGGATTCCACATCTTCCCCAGCTAGTTCTAGTGTTCGTGCAATGTTCAAAAATGAACAAGACAAATCTGTTCCTTCACGGGATATTTCTGCTGGGCCAACTAAAGAGCGAATTTTGGGGAAAGGCAATATTAAGTACGTTCAACCTATTTCTATCAATAATGCTTAGAGTCAGAAAAGACTGTATATTCTGCTAACTAGTGTTTGATTTACCTGAAATCTTGATTTTCTGGTGATGATATTTCTACTGGATTTTCTTTTAGGTTGAATACCCTCGAGGACAATCATGCGATTTGTTCTAGTCCAGTAATAAAAGGAAAGGCCTCGAGGACTCCACGATCCGGCCCTGCAATTCCGACCAATTCAGCTTCTAATGTTCCTCGTTTGTCAGCTCTGGAGAGCTGGGAACAAACCACGGGCATAAACAAAAACCCTTCAGTTAATGGAGTTAACAGCCGCAAGCGTGCTATTCCTGCAGGATCATCTTCTCCACCAATTACTCAATGGGGTGGTCAGAGGCCACAGAAAATTTCTCGTAGGAGGACGAATCTTGTATCGGTGTCAAACCATGATGAAGTACAGATGCAGTCTGAAGGATGCTCGCCTACAGATTTTGGTGCCCGATTAAGCTCTTGTGGAAATAATCCTCTTATCTCGAAAAATGCAGCAAATGGAATCCAAAATTTCAAACCTAAATCTGGAAATGTTTCATCCCCTGCGAGATTGTCTGAAAGTGAAGAATCTGGTGCTGGTGAAAACAGAATGAAGGAGAAATCTGTAGGTAGTGGCTATGTGGACAAAAAAGCTACAAGTGCTGGTCAGGATGCTGGCCCTTCTGCAATAGTTTCTAAAAAGAATAAAGTTGTGGTTAAAGAAGAAATTGGTGATGGTATACGGAGACAAGGGCAGAATGGAAGGATCTCACCATTTTCTAGGGCTAGTATTTCACCAATGAGAGAGAAGCAGGACAATGGAGCGCCAGCCAAGCCACTCCGAAATGCGAGGTCTGGTTCTGACAGGAGTGGAAGGTACTGGATATTTTCTTAACAGGAGAAATTATGCCTACATTGACATTTTCTTGTTTCCTCTCACTCATGGGGATTTCTGTTAAACTGTGACAGCAAGTCAGGCCGCCCTTTGAAGAAGCTATCAGACCGCAAAGGCTCTTCTCGTCTTGGCCTTGTAGCAAACGGGGGTTCTCCTGATTTTAATGGTATACATTTAAATATAATATATTATCAGAATTATTTTCCTACATTTTAGAGTGATTTGACATTTTGCATTATCCATACTGGATTTGTTAGTAGGTGAAAATTTGTCTTTATCTGTCTGTCATTGTCTCTATCAGTTGTAAGCTACTATGCTAGTCTAACGGTATCAACCACTGCATGCTTGTAGTTATTTTACCTCAGTTCCTGAGATTTCTTAAGTTACACCGTGTATGTGAGTTTTGAAGTCAGTCTCAGTTATTTATGGGAATCCATATCATAATTAACCAAGTTTTACCAGCTTGAATTATATATCTTATGGAGGATTAACTAAGCACTTCTGCTTGCCCCAAACAAAAGATGAAAGAACTCACAGCGGAGATAGATGGAAAAAGCCCTCTTAAACAGATTCCCATTTTTCGAAATTCTTAAGATCATGCAATACTTTGTTGTTGATGCATTATGATTTTTCAGGAGAATCAGAGGATGACCATGAAGAGCTCTCGTCAGCTGCAAGTTTGGCTTGCAATTCCAGCCGTATGTGTCTCGCTTCAATTATTTTTCTGTCATATTGATTATATTGCTTTCTCAAATAGATCATGGGAATAATGTTTTCTTTCTCTTTTTTTTTACCATAGTTCTTGCCTGTTCAAGCCCATTCTGGAAGAAAGTTGAGACAATGTTTACTTCAATTGGTACAGACAAAAAGTCATACTTGTTACAAAAGGTGACTAACTTAATAGTTAGATATGTTATAATATGGCTCCCCTTCTTATTTTGGTTAGTTTGTACATGGTCAGTGGGACTCTTAAATTCTTCTTTGTTGTTTTGGACTAGCTAAAATTAGCTGAAGAGTTTGGAAGTTCATCTCAATTCTCTTGCCATGGCAATGATGTTCAGGTGAAATTGGTTTGTGATCTGTGGTCGCTCTTCTTTTCTATCTAATTCTTTGATTTTTTGAATATAGTTTCACTGTGAATATTCTACACTTAATTCAATATACAAAAGAATCAAACACCATCTTTGGTCCTTGCAGCCTCTTGGCTTTAGATTACTATAATTTCAAACTTCTGGAGGGAACAGGTTGTTCTGCATCTATTTATAATCTGTGGATCTGCTTCACCTGAAATTCAAAACCCTTCTTGTTTTATCAGGGTGATGTCCACAAAAAAATTTCAGCATTTGATTCTCTTTCTGGTAAGACAAATGGGCAGATGACAAATGAAATGGGGACAAAGGACTCTTCTGATACGGTGGAATTTGTTGAGCAACTACAGAATACTTCTTTGTTTGGGTCCATAGACACAGAGAAAATACATGACACTCCACTTTATCAAAGGATACTATCTGCTCTTATCGTGGAGGATGAAATTGAAGAATTTGAAGAAAATGGGTTTGGAGGACCAAGTAGTTATCCTTGTGATTTGCGCCTTGTTGATACTGAAAGCAGATATCAAGATGGAGTGGACTTTTGTGAGCCATTATTTGGTGTCCAAACTCCAAAAAATGGTAATGCGCACATATTTGTTTCTTGCAACGGAAATACTGACTACAATAGAAACCCTGGTATTCGGCGTCATCCATGTAATGGAGAATTGATGCAAGGGGATAGTGGATATGTGCATTCAGAGGTGGAAGTGTTGGTTAGACTTTCAAGATGTGATTATGGTTCACAAAGTTTCCAGCCAAATAATTATGGCATTTCTTCCATTGATTGCCAATATGAGCAGATGTGTCTTGAAGACAAACTTGTGCTGGAATTGCAAAGTGTTGGCCTATTTTTAGAAACAGTGGTAAGTTGGAGATTGAAGTGATGTTTATCATCTTTAATTGAATGGTTTTCATCATAAATTCCCATTCCCCACATTCCCTCTTTTCCGCTGGACTTAATGAAATAACCTGATCAATAAATTGCATATTTAAACAACAAAAGCAACTTTTACATGTGTCATGGTTTTCTTTTTGCTACCTTGGATATGTTTCTTATTCATTTAAGTATTCATTGTTGCATTGCTCACTGGGATGCCTGCTACAGCCTGCCTTGGATGACAGAGAGGACAAGGTAATCAACCAGGATATTGTTCAGCTGGAGAGGGGACTGCATCAGCAGGTTATCTTTCATCACACCATTTTCATAATCTCTTTTCAACCTTTTTTAACTGAGATTATTGAATTATTTTTAGGAGTCTATTTATTTTCCTATGATGAGCATTCTAAAGCCTCTGCCAAAAAATGTTCTGCTATAAAATTTATCCATTAATATTACTGAGCGACCCCCCTCTTTATTTACACTTGAATCTCTAGATTGGAAAGAAAAAGATGTTCCTGGATAATATATGCAAGGCTATTGAAGAAGGCAAGGATGTAGACAAGCGGTAAATACTTTAAATTTGGATTTTGTTCATAAGCATTGAACTTCTTATTATCACTAGTAATTGCGAATTTTTGCTCAGGTCTTGTTTTGACAAACACATTTTGCTTAATGTGCAGGGACCCTGAGCAGCTCGCTATGGATAAACTTGTTGAGTTGGCATACAAGAAACTTTTGGTAAGTACTAATTGCTTCATGTTGCTCATCCACAGAGCATCAGTTAGCTGTTTAGTTGTACAGATGTGCGCATGACTCACTTTCTGTAAACCTTTATCGGTTTTCGTGGAGTATGGCCTTGAAGCAGAAAGTTACTCCTAATCTTTTTGAGTTACAAAAAAAGGTTATGTAACAATTCATGCAAAACATATTTTCTAGTTTGTAATTTTCATTTGAGGTGCCAAATTTTATGATGTTTCTTGATTGAAAAACTTGAATGTCAGGCATTTTAAATACTTGATTGTGTCCTGTACAAAAACCTTTCGGGCAAAAAATGTTCGTTTTTGTGTGAAAACTTTAATATACATTATTGCTTACCATATATTTTGACCTTATTAATTTGACTTCCTGTTAAAATTCTTTTTCTTTCATGTCAGATTTAAATCTATATCTTTGAATAATTTGACAGGCAACTCGAGGGAGTTTTGCTTCTAAATATGGTATGGCTAAGGTGTCAAAACAAGTTGCGTTGGCTTTTGCCAAGAGAACACTTGATAGATGTCGGAGTTTTGAAGATTCAGGAGTAAGTTGCTTTGCTGAGCCCACATTCCGCGATGTCATTTATGCTGCACCGACTCAGATCACTGAAGGAGAGCCGCTGATCAGTGCAGACCTGGTAGTTGCTAATGGTAAGCGTGCATTAGTTTTGTTTTCAACTATGATGTACGGACACACATGTCCGACATGATACTTGTCGGATACGTCGACGGGCGATTTTTCAAAAAAGTACTGACACAACACGTTGTTGACACGATTAAATTTTTAATTTTTATAGTATAAATTTAGTTTTATACTTGTAATTTTTCATGTTGAAATCTTTTAAACATGAGTACCTATTTGTTACTTGCTAATAATTTTGAATTAACAATATATAATATTTTTAATACAAAAAGAAAAATGATTCTGGTTGAGTGTTCGAGAAGTGTCTACATGAGTACCTATTTGTTACTTACCAATAATTATGAGTTAAAAATATATAATATTTTTAATAAAAAAAGAAAAATGATTATGATAGAGTGTCCGATGAGTGTCGATATGGACTCTTGAAGTGTCCGTGCGACATAGGTTTTCAATAATGCTTAAGCAGTTATAATTTGCTAACTGCTTGCTCCCAAGTCTTTTCTATGCTCTTCAGGTTTTGCTTGAAAAATGTTAAAAGTAAAGCTGTCTTATTTGATTTATATTGACTTAGTTGTACAACCTTTTGCATTCATAACTACAGCAGTTCATTTCTTGACAGGATCTGTGTCCGGTTTTGCTGATGGTTGTTTATCAGATGCACTCGATACTTCAGGTCATCTATCTGATCAGGCTTTTGCTAAAAGTGGGCCGATATCGAATAGAGGAAAAAAGAAGGAAGTATTGCTTGATAATGTTGGTGGTGCCATCTTTAGAGCCACATCTTCTCTTGGCATATTGGGCAATGCAAAGGGAAAGAGAAGTGAAAGAGACACTTCAACCAGAAATGCTGTTTCCAGGGCATCAATGGGTGGCTCCAAGGGAGAGCGCAAAACAAAAGCGAAGTTGAAGCAAAAAATAGCTCAGCTTTCTACATCAGGAAATGGAGTTGTCAATAAATTCATGGATGCAATACATCCCGTATACACTTCGGCTAGTGGTTCTGGTGAATCAGCCAATAATACTAGCAACAGGAAAAGGGATGTTAGATTTATGTCTTCTGGCAATGCCCCTCAAGATTCATCGAAGGACATCAACGAATTAGAAAATTTGCCACTGAATGATATAGACTCGATGGAGGAACTAGGGGTAGATACTGACATTGGTGCACCTCAGGATTTCAATACTTGGTTCAATTTTGATGTGGATGGACTACAGGACCATGATTCTGTTGGCCTTGAGATACCCATGGACGACCTTTCAGAATTAAATATGTTTTGATCTCGATAGTTCTTGTTGTACAGCTTGTGGAATATTTAACTAGCTACTAAAGAATGAATTCATTTTACTACCTTAAGCTTTGTGTTGGCTAAATGGAAGTTGTAATTATCCGATTCTTTTTGTATACTTGTCTCGGGGAAATTGGGTAGAAAATCCTCCTTGTTTAAACTTTGTTTCCTTGTAATAAGTGCATTTTGTTTAAATAATCTATTTAGTTGTTTCAAGATAAAGTAATGTTATTTAGCAGCACTGATATTAGGTCTGGACATTTTAATAGGAATCGAACCTCCCGAATCGAAACCGGAGGTTCTAGTCTGGTTCCCAAAAAAATAAATTAGGAACCGGAATCAATAACCAATTGGGTTCGATTTGGTTCTTGGTACTTGAACCAAAATCATGGGTAGTGGAATCGATTTTTATATAATTTTTTATTTATAATTTATAAGCCAGGTAAAAAAAAAACTAAAAATCATAATTTAGGTAATTAGTCTAAAACTCTAGACTTTTAACACTATGAAATTAAGATTGGCTCTTGCTTTTTTATATTTCGATTCACATCAGATTGTTGCATTTTAGAGGTTAATATATGTTAATATTTATATTTTGAGCTTTTTATGAATCAAAAAGTTCAAGCTAGATTTTTTTATTCTTGAAGATTTTTTAGTTGAACTCTCTCCCTTGCACAAATATTTTCGAATAGTAGCATGTTAGGTATATGTACTAAAAAGGGTTTTTATATGAAAATGTTTATTAAATATATGTAAAAAAATTTGGGTAGAACTTAAATCGAACCGGAATTAACGGTTCGGGTTCGGGCTCGGGTTTGGTTCCAGTATTTACAAGGACTCGAATTGTTCCATTTACGAAATACTCGAAATATAATGGGTGGTTCCGAGTATTGAAATACTCGAACTGACCCACCCTATGCCCATGCCTGACTGATGTTAAAATACCAGTTTAGATGACACTAAATGAGAGGCACCTCTCATTGAGCTTATCATATCACGCCATCTAGACTGATATTTTAGCATCACTGGTGTTAGCATTATCCTTCTAGATAATTGGTACCACGGCTTTATATGTATAATATTTATTGCATACCTAATATGGCGTGAATCGACAATTTTGTTTCGTTTTAAATTTCTGTATTTAATCTAAGATTATACTGTCACCGTGTAAAGTTGATTTTTTGAAGAGTGATTTTTTGCAGAATGCGTGGACTGTGGTTAAAAAGTGAAAAAAAAAAAAAAAAAAAAAAAAAAAGAGGAAATGTGAAAATTAATTTTTTTTGGAGAATGTAATTGAAAATAAGTGTGAAAAGTGGTTTTGGAAAAAATATTTTTTTAAATAAAGGCAAATTCGTTTACCTGTTTACGGGGAAAGGTCTTCAAAATCTTCCTGAAAATGTTCATCTCATCATCCTTTACATGTAGCATTTAAAGAATTTTACATCTTGTTCTTTACATTCAATTGTCAATTGATGGTTACACCGTTATCTCATGTATGAGCGAGATACATGTCTGTTGTCCCATATAGTCCCTGGCTATTTGGAAATAACACGTTTCGATCGACTCTTGAAATTTCCAAAAAGAATAAGACCAAGTTACTCGATCAGATTCACCATTCAGGCAATACATGTACCTTCTACTACTAAATGAAGAACTTTTCTTCTCGTTTTACTATCGTGTGCGGGTAGAGAGTGAAAAATATTCAGGCTCAGGTGTCCATTACAGTATAGTTATAGATTTAACAAGAACAATGCAATTTACGTCATGGACTAGAGTTTATTACTGTAAGATAATATCCATGTTTCACAAGGATATACTCTAAATCCAGAACAGAACTTGTTTTTCTTGATTGCCCAATATGGGCAGGAATTACAATGTAAATGCATTCAAGTCATAATAAAGTCAACATATTTATCTTATACTCCTCCTCCACCACCACCACCACCATCACGACGCTTAGCAGCTTCTGAGTTGCTCGTTGTCATAAAAGATTCTCCGCAGCCACACTGCCCCTTGGAATTGGGGTTTATGAATATGAACTCAGATCTGCTCAGAAAACATTTGAGATGCCAAAGTTAAGCAGTCTGATATTTTAACTAAAATACCAGGATGCCAGCAAGTATCAGTTTCAACATTACACCCTATGATTTTTCATCAACTGGGATGCAGGGACTTAAAATAATTTCCAATTGTGTCAACACAAACTTAAAGGGCGCATTTATTAGACGGGACAAGGATTAAAATAATCTTATCTAAGCATTATCCGGTATTTGGTGCAATTAGTATTAAATTAATCCAGTGTGCTTATCCTCCTTTGTTCAAGTGTATAAAATTATTCATTCACCAATTTAAGAATTAAGAAAAGATTAGTTCAAATTGAAATACATAAATTTTCTTACAAATAAATAAGAGATAAGAAAAGAACTTCACTTACAAGTAAAAATAAATTATAAATAAAAAATCACTCTAGTGAAAAAAAATTGCCTATAAGTGAAAAATACCACTTCTATCTAAAAAAATTCAATTAATTAAAGTTAAAAAAAATTATAAAAAAATATTGTTATATTTTTTTTGGTCTTCTAATACATGTAGCGCCAAACGCCATATTAGAACAATCCTCTCAAATTCACCATATTGCAATCCTTCCTAATCCTATCTTCCCTAATCTATCATACGGTGTACCGACGTGACCAAAGTGATTTCGATTCTTCAAAAATATGACACTGATATATAAATCTGGGCAGCTAGACCAAAGCTGTATGTGGAATAAGAAAGGAGAAGAGAAGGTTGAGAAAGGAAAATCAAGAGGAAAATGGGCGAAAGATCGTTCATGCATATTGGGAAGGAAGTTGAAAGTCAATGTAACAAATTGAGCAACTCTGGATTTCCCCTTTTTCCACCTGGATGATATTTGTGATATTAAGGGGAAAATCAGTTTCCTCACTTCATTTTTTATTTTTCTCTTTTCATATGGAAATCAAACAGGCGGGTAGAAAATCTAACACTCCATTCTTTCTATGTGTATATCCAAATACGTTTTACCCCCAAGGGAAAACTATATAAAAGCAGAGTATGTTTCACCTCACATGTATGTATATGTGTATACACATGTAAATACGAAGATACAGCTAGATATTGCTTCAAAAGATTCATCTACAATTAGAAGTGGTGAAATATCTCATACCTGAGTTTGTCATCAACAAAATCCATCTTTGTTCCTAATACATGCATGAGCGCCTTTGGATCAATTAATATCTTCACACCTTTGTCCTCAACCAACTCATCAAACTTCCCTTTCTCATCTACAATATTTAGAAATCACTTAAGTGATCAGCAACAAAACCAATTTAACAGTGCAGAAACATGATAGATCAGTGAAAATTAGGAATAGAGAAACATTCAGTCCCTGAATCGTATTAAAATAAAATTTTGTTTCCTATAAGTAATGACTAAAATAGATATGATACAGAAAAAACACCAGTAACAATGGGAGGAAACTGTTTGGGCACTGGTGATAGTGCCAGAACAGTAAATATTAACCATGTGCTACTTGGGGTCGATATGGTTTCCACTTTTACTTGGAGGGCGAGAGGGAGCGCAAGTAAACTTTCAAACTCGAGAGCTCTGATCTAAGCAAAGCCACGAGTAATGCACTTCATAAAAAATGAAAGAGTACAATGTCTCGAAATAACAATATCCATTACGTTTACCTGATTACTAGTACTAGTGAGATCACAATAGTTATGAATGTGATATATACTTAAATATTATTCAAACAGCAATAACTCAAACATTACTTTGAGATGACATAAAAATTGAATGGTGATCATATCCATAACTATGCCTATGCTAACAAGTGATGAAATGAACATTTCATGGAACACACAGATGAATCGAAATATTGAGTATGCTGTACTCTTAGTTCCAGTGAAGTATTATACAGATGTATGTTTGATTATGTTCAGTCATAAACCGAAACACCGTTGTGAATATGTCATCCAACTAAATTATTGTTAATGCTTAACCAATACTAATTGACCAGCATATTTCTTCTTTATCATCTAGTAATTAATTAAATAATTGAATAACAAATTGAAGCTATCAATCACTGACAACTGAACTAATTCACGAAAGGTTCGAACACATAAACTAGGTATCGTACACAAGTGATTGGTGATTGGCCACTTAAAGATAAGATATATCTATCATCTTCCAAATAATATGAATGATGCCCTACCATCAATCCAATTGTTGCTGCCCCTCAGAATCAATATTAAAAATAAAATAAAATCAAGCATTGCTAGTCAATTCAACTTTGACAAAAGTAAAATAAAATAAAAATGATGCATCCTATTATATTTCACAGAAAGATTAATAAAATTACCACCAGAAACTCCTCTTGACCTTATTAGAAAGGATATTGAGCCTAACTCAACCTAACAAAACCGGTTTGTTAGGGGAGGATTGTCCTCACCTTATTAAGTGGATTGTGTAAATATCACCAGCCAATGTGAGACTCTAATACGCCCCCTCACGCACAGCATGGACCATGTTAAACAATTGTGAACAAATCGATATTGGGTGCACCCAACATTGCAAAACTGGGCCTGCTCTGATACCATATTAGAAAGTATGTTGAGTCTAACTCAATCTAACAAAACCGACTTGTTAGGGGAGGATTGCACTCACCTTATTAATAAAATTACCACCAGAAACTCCTCTTGACCTTATTAGAAAGGATATTGAGCCTAACTCAACCTAACAAAACCGGCTTGTTAGGGGAGGATTGTTCTCACCTTATTAAGTGGATTGTGTAAATATCACCAGCCAATGTGAGACTCTAATACGCCCCCTCACGCACAGCATGGACCATGTTAAACAACTGTGAACAAATCGATATTGGGTGCACCCAACATTGCAAAACTGGGCCTGCTCTGATACCATATTAGAAAGTATGTTGAGTCTAACTCAATCTAACAAAACCGACTTGTTAGGGGAGGATTGCCCTCGTGGATCGTGTAAATATTACCTGCGACTCTAATAGACCTCCTACTTTATGCCTCATTAGAAACATTATTTAAGCTAACGAGAGGCTTATTGAGAACAGATGGTATTGAGAAGGCCCAATAGAACAGATAAGTAGCTGTAGTCAGATAAAAACCAAGTTTTTTACTGAAGCAATGGCAACAAGTATGAATGAATCTCTCTTTCTGCACAAATTGAAAATATGTAAATGCACAATTCCAATGTGCCAAACAAGATTGTAACGACCAACAATAAGAAACATGAAAAATCCAACAAAGATAAAAAAAAATATTATTTCTTGATTAACTTGAATTTCGATGTGCTTGTACACAATCCAGATTTTCTTTTATATAGAGAATTATTCGAGTAAAAACCTCCAATTAAGCTAATAATATTTAAAAGGAATTAAACTTCATAATAAATAAAGGATCATAAAATCAGCCAACTATTCATATCCTAAACTTGTATATTTCCTGATCTATTTTTAATTCCACTTGGTTTGTTACATCTAACTTTCACAATTCCGATAATTCATAAACATTCTTAGACATTTCACACAAAACATGTATCCAATAGGTAAAAATGCGGAAATTACCGGCGTAATTGAGGGTGTAGGATAAGCCATTGCAGCCGCGGGCCTTGACGCCGAGCTTCAGGAAAGGGCGCTGGCGCTGTTCTAGGAGATGGCGTATTCTAGTGGCTGCGGCGTCCGTTAAGGATAGCACTTGCTTTCTCATGGCGGTGCCGATCTTCTCTGCGCCTCCTTTCAGAATTGAAGCTGCCATCTGAATAATTTCCTCTTTTGGAAATTCTGTGCAGCCAAACAGGTCTTTACCCTATTTGAAATAAAACTGGGTAGTGCAGCAAAAGGGCCGAGTAGCTCGTCCACTCGACTCGTTAAGCTTGAAAAACGACTCATCCAAGAGCCTAAAGTTTACCGGCTCGGGGGCTATTAAAAAAATGTGAAGAAAAAAGTAAAAATAAAAACTAATTAAAAAAAAAGTTCGTGGGTCGAGACTAGGAAATAAATAGAAATGACCTGAATCCTGATCATATTTCGATAATGGTTTTTGACCATTAAAAAAAATATATTAAAATTTAAAATTGACAACTTAAATACCAAAAGTCAAAAATACCCAAATCTTTGTGAAAAGTGTTTGAGTTGAGAGGAAAAAAGAAAAAAGGAAAAACTCAAACAGTCTCTAACAGTTGGGATCCAATCAAGGTCACCATCATTTGACTTTCTAGTGCTGAAACCTTGGCTCGAAAACAAAAAAGTACTATACATTCTTTTTTGAAAAGATTAGACTCGAAATTATTGGAAGAATCCACACAAACCAATCGTCGTCGACATTATCTTTAACAATGTTAATTTTTTTGTAGATTATGAGATTGGTTTTTCATTTATAATGTTTTAAAAATGTGTGGATTTTATGATGTCTATTTGTAAAATTTATGATATTTATAATGTTTATTTTTCATTATTTAGGTAAATTATTGACAACTTGTTTGAGCCATATTTTTTTAATAAGAATGAATTTTGAAATAGTAGATTGATAGAGAATGTGTGATTGAAAAATAAGAAAAAATTTTGGATTTGTGTATAATATTATTTTATTGAAAAATGTATCGTTAAAAATAAGAGAAAGAAAAATATATTTTGAAAATAACGAGGATCAAAAAGGGGCTATGTGTAGTAGTGATTTAAGTGTTGCCTAGAAAGTGTGATCACGCCCAATATTCAATTCCCATTTTTGTTATACACTCTCATGTAGGGAATGATTTACTTCCTATTTCAGCCATGAACTTATTACACTCTAAACTTTCGTCACTCCCCTCAACAATGAAACAATGTTATCCAAGTACCTAGTCTTCAGGTTGCCATGTATATAGTACATGCATACCCACGATATGTCTCGGGAAAAAGTTTAGCGATACCATTTATTATAAACGGTCCCCGATCAGCTACAAAGGCAATGTCTTCGACTTCCCCATTTACTTTCCTCAACTTTGTGAAGAACCAATGCATAGACAGATCATTCTCGATATTGAAATTTCAAAATGAAAATGCGGAGATTTGATTAAACCAATTTTAAAAGTACCTCAAATGAAACAAAAATGACCATTTGTAAGGGGTAATTGGAATTTACCGTAATTATTCATTTATTTGGACTTATGCTCAGTTTCACTAAAATGGCAAAATAACGAAATTGGCATTTTCCTAGATTTGAATATTCTTGAATATTTTTTTAAATAGAAATATGCCTGGCTAAGCTAATATATTTACGTATAAGTATTAATGTAAATTTCAAAATTAATTTATTTTTATTGGTTGGACATTAAAAAGTAACTTTGTTAGATAATTGATCAGAATTTATAAATGAGTGTTTTGATCAACTTCGATTTTTAGTAAATTTTGATAATAAAAAAAAATTTCGATGGAGAGGAGAACCTATGATGAGAAAATGAGTCAAATTCAATAGGATTAAGAAGGAAATCCTAAAGGAACAGATTAATCTGACGAGAATAAAGATAAGAGTCCAATTTCTTGATTGAAAGGAATTTCTGGAGATCCAACAAAGAAAGTAAAGATGACCAATAAAAGTTTGATAAACGTGTGACTAAAAAGACGAAAAAAATCATCCATCCCAAAGAATGAATTTGAAAAAAAAAAATATTTTAATAAATGTGCCAAATAGACTCTAAGCATCAAAACAGTAGCCTCCATCTAACAAAATAGTGTTGGAATTAATTGATAAAGTGTTAAGTAATTAAATGTGATATTTAATTATGTGGGCCATTGTAATTAATTTGGGTGAATTGCATACCGCGCTTCATCTTCCATTTTTATTTTCTATTATTTTCTTTGTTTTTTTGATT